CTCTTCCCTTGCAGCCCGAGCGCTTGCAGGGCACTCACTACTCGGTGCAGTCGGACATCTGGAGCATGGGGCTGTCCCTGGTGGAGCTGTCGATCGGAAGGTACCCAATCCCCCCGCCAGACTCCAAGGAACTGGAAGCAATATTTGGCCGTCCTGTGGTGGACGGGGCGGAGGGAGAGTCCCACAGCGTCTCGCCGCGGGCCAGGCCCCCAGGACGCCCCGTCAGTGGTAGGGGCTGTGGTGTGACTGCAACCAACACCTCACGTGTGGGGGAACGAGGGGCTGGGGGCTGGGAGAGCCTCAGGAGGAGGAGGAGGAGGAGGTTGTGCCGGGAAAGGAGTGGTTTTTTTTTTAGGGAAGCTGCCTCGAGGCTCCGTCGACTGCGGAGGTTTGGAAGTGCCGGGCGAGGCAGGCGGGGTCCGGGCGTGTGTGGGGAGGTGGAGGTGGCATCCTAAATCCATCCTTTGGACCCTGCTGTGTCCCCCGTGCTGGGAATGGTGCAGGCTGTTGGAATGTGACCCACTTGGAGGGGCACTGCCACACCCCCTGGTGCTCCCCCGACAAGTTCCTTTCAAGCCCGAGGCGGTTTTTTGGGAAGAGCTTTGCTGGGAGCTCTCACAGGAGCACCCAAAAGGGCACCAGGGTTCCAAGGAGGCTCTGCTGGAGCCACTCCCTTGGAAGCAGAAGGCACCATCAGCAGCAGATGGTACTCTCCAAGTGCTCCGAGCTAGGAAATAAATCTGGGCTGTGCAGGCCTGGTGAAAGAAACCCGAAATTTCGGAATGTGGTTGGTTTTCTCTTTGACCACAAGTCGGTTCCCCGGCGAGTCGCCTCTGCCTCTCCCAGCAGGAGTCCCACAGGCACGGTCTGCACACAAAATCAAGTCCTTTGCTGTCCCCAAACAGTCCCTGACCACTGTTTTTGTCACCTTCCCCACGCAGGCCACGGGATGGACAGTCGGCCTGCCATGGCCATCTTTGAACTGCTGGATTATATAGTTAATGAGGTGGGTGTTTGTTTTCCACGGGCATTCCAGAGGTGCCAGAGTGATGTGTCCACTCTGCTGAGTCAGGGTGGGCTCAGAAATGTTTGTTAGTCGTGGAATCCCGGGTTGGTTCGGGTTGGAAGGAGCTTAAAGCTCATCCAGTGCCACCCCCTGGATGGCAGGGACACCTTCCACTAGCCCAGGTTGCTCCAACCTGGCCTTGGACACTTCCAGGGATGGGGCAGCCACAGCTTCTCTGGGAAATCCATCCCAGTCCCTCCCCACCCTCCCAGGGAGGAATTCCTTCCCAATATCCCATCCAACCCTGCCCTCCTTCAGCTTAAGGCCCTTCCCCCTTGTCCTGTCAGAGTCGTGAGGGTGGAAGGAGCAGTTTCCCCTTCCAAGGGGATGGGAGTTGACCCCAATTATAATTTCTGGGCTGTTTCATCAGCCCAAGGCGGTGCCAGAGCTGGGATTTGTGAGGCTGGAGAGGGAATTGAGGTGCTTGGATTTGGATTTCCCACCTCTGGCTGGGATTCAGCAAGGGGTCCCCCCAGCTGCAGGGTGAGCTGGAGCAGCAGGGTAAGGAATGGCAAGGAGCCATGTCCTGGTTGGAAAAGCAGTGAGGATGAGGAGGATGAGGATGGTTGTAGAGCGCTGAGCTCGCTGGGACTGCAGGTGACCCTGGGGTTTTTGGCACAATAACACCACAGTGATGCAGGAAACCCTTCTCCTTCTCTCCACAGCCACCTCCCAAGCTGCCAAGTGGAGTTTTCACGCAAGATTTCCAGGAGTTTGTAAATAAATGGTAAGGATTTCATCTCCTGGCTGGAGGGGGAGGCCTGTCTGTGCTCCCTGACAGCCCTGCAAGCTGCTGCTCCACCTGAGGTGCTCAGCAGGGCTCTGGTGATCCCTCCCTGCCTTCTCTGCAGTGCTGTGCTGGCAACTCCAGCCTTGGGAAGGCTTGGAATAAAAGCAGTTTATCTGGGGGGATGCTGAGCAGGATCCCAGCTCCTTCTAAATCTGGCAAGGGGGGATATGGTGGAGCAGATTCCCGGGGCTGAGTCACCCCCGAGGCACCAGGAACACACCAGCCCTTCTGGTGGGGTGGGGGGACACCTGAAGGTGCTGCCACAACTCCCATTAAACCAGGGATTGGATGTTACAAAGATCACTGCGAATTCCTGCCAAGCTTCAGGGCCTTGTCTCCCTTTGCAGGGTGCAGTTTATCCCCATGGAAGACACGGATCCCTGGGCTCTCCCTGGGAGCTGGGCTGGTGGGGATGGAGCCAGGGAAGGAGCCAGGAGGCCCAGTGGCTTTGGGGGAAGCTGGAGACCTCTCTCTATCCAGCCTGATAACCACTTTTCCCCCAGGGAATGTCTCACATTGATTTTTACTCTCTTGTTCTTCTCATTTCAGCTTAATTAAGAACCCGGCGGAACGGGCAGATCTGAAGATGCTGATGGTGAGTGAGGGGGGAGAGAGAATTTTCTACCAGCTCTGCCAACTGCTACCCCTTCCCTCTGAGGAGCCTCTTGCTCCAAAGGCTGGAAACTCCCAGGGCTGAGCTTTAGGATGAGCCAAATGGAGGCAGGGAAGAGGGAGTGACTCACCCACCTTTGGTTCAAAGGCGCTGATGGTATCGGGGAACCACCCGCCTGTCCGGTGTCTGCTGAGGTGCCTGAGCCAAACCTGGCTCCTCACCCGGGCAGGTGGATGTGAGTGAGGGCTGAATCCGAGCTGGAGATGTGTGTTCACATCCCAGGAATCCATCCATGTCCTGGGCTCATCCCACAGCCGGGTGAAGGAGGGGATTCTGCCCCTCTGCCCAGCTCGGGTGAGACCCCTCCTGCAGAGCTTCCTCCAGCTCTGGGGCAGCAGCATCCAAAGGATGTGGAACTGCTGGAATAAGTCCAGAGGAGGCCACAAAGATGCTCCAAGGGCTGGAGCCCCTCTGCTCTGGAGCCAGGCTGGAGGAGCTGGGGGGGGTTCACCTGGAGAAGAGAAGGATCCAGGGAGACCTGAGAGCCCCTTCCTGGCATAAAGGGGCTCCAGGAGAGCTGGAGAGGGACTGGGGACAAGGGATGGAAGGACAGGACACAGGAAATGGCTTCAAACTGAAAGAGGGGAAATTTAGGTGGGATATTGGGAAGGAATTCCTCCCTGGGAGGGTGGGGAGGCCCTGGCACAGGCTGGGCAGAGAAGCTGTGGCTGCCCCATCCCTGGAAGTGTCCAAGGGCAGTTTGGAGAAGAGAAGGCTCCAGGGAGACCTTGGAGCCCCTTCCAAGGCCTAAAGGGGCTCCAGGAGAGCTGGAGAGGGACTTGGGATGACAGGCCAAGGGGAATGGCTTCCCACTGCCAGAGGGTGGGGCTAGATGGGATATTGGGAAGAAATCCCTCCCTGTGAGGATGCTGAGACCCTGGCACAGGACTGCACCAGCACCTTCTCCCCTCTCCAGGGTGTATCCCACAGCACCAGGGCTTTGCTTTGGGAGCCCGGGAGAGTGCTCCTAACCCTGTTTTTGTTGTTTTTTTATTTTTTTCTTCTCCCCTGTGCTCGCAGAGTCACACCTTCATCAAGCGCTCCGAGGTGGAGGAGGTGGATTTCGCGGGCTGGCTGTGCCGAACGCTGCGGCTGAACCAGCCCAGCACACCCACCCGCGCTGCCGTGTGAGCCCCGCTGGCACCGCAGCTGCCTCTGGCACCACCTCCTCTCCTTCCCTCCGCCACAGAACTGCCCTCCTTCCTCCTCCTCCTCCTCCTCCTTTCCCAGCCCTCCCTTCCCCGATTCCCAGCAGCCAAAGCACCGACCCCTCGGAAGCGTCTTCATCGTCCGACCCCCCCTCCCTCCCCGGCCCGAGCGGGGTTGGTTTCTTTTGATGTGTGTGTTAAAGGGAGGGGGGGGTGTTTTCCAGGCCTCTGCTCCGGCTCTGGAGCTCCTGACACTTTGGGAATTGTGGTGCTGCTTGTGTTGATTTCTTTTTTTTTTTTTTGGTTGTTGTTGTTTGTTTTTTTTCTTTAATTTGTTGGGGTTTTTTTTTGTTCTGTTGAAAACGAGAAGGTAACGGGGTGTGGGGGCTGTGGGAGGTGGTGGCAGGGGATGGGGAGGGTGATGCTTCACCTCCTCCCTGCTTTTCGCTCCCGGGGTGGAGAATCAGCGGGATCAGGAACGGAGAAACCCTGTCTGGGGTGGCCCAAAACGGTGTCACTGCCCTGCCTGGGGACAGGGGGTGGTCTTGGGGGGTGATTTATGGAGGAGACACAGCACTGGGCTCCTCTTGCCCCTCAGAGCAAAGACTTGTGCTTTTTTGGTTTAGTTTTTTTTTTTTATTTTCTTTCCTGGTTTTCCTTTTAAACGGTTGTTTCCAAGCCTGGTCTTGTCACGTGCTTGGATGTTCAGGGAAGGGGTCGGATCCGTCGGAGTCAGAGGGAATCAGGTGGGAGCTGAGGGGTGGGCAAATCCTCACAGGGCCGTGGCTCCCACTTTTCAGTGTCAAGATGAGGGGAGAGTGTGGATTTTCCTTCCTTTCCTTTCCTTCCAGCCCGAAAAGTGGGAGCAGAGCCTGGGTGTTCACCGTGGCCGTGCCCAGGATTTGGGGTCCCTCTCCTGACCCCATCATTCCCAGGGCACAGGGAAGGGTGAGACCCTGGTTTTCCACCTCTCCAGCTGCCTCTCCCCCCTCCCACGAGTGGCCTCATCCCTTGTGGAATGTGGCAGAGCTCCAGGATTCCCTGTTGGAGCCCCACCTGGAGCCCCCCTGGGCCAGTGTGGGGATGAACCCACCCAGCCAGACCTGCATTATCCCGAGTCCAGAGGGTTTTCCAAAGGGCTGGAATGGTCCCTCCCATCATGGACCTTGCAGACCCTCAGCTCCCCTCATTTCCCTCCCTGTGTATTTTGGGGTGAGTCGCTCCCTGCTCCCCCCACCCGGGGCTCTGGGACCCCCCCCCCCAGCCTCCCTTGAGGATTTGGGATTTTTTTTTGGGGGGTGGGTGTGTTTTCCTTCTTTTTTTTGGCTGTTTTTTCACCCAGTCAGGCTGGCAGGTGCCAATCCCCTCTTCCTCTGCTCAGCCCCCCCCCAAAAACGAAGTGCCAGGGCTTGGGAACCCCAAACCCTTCCTGTACCTTTTCCTTCCCCGTTTTCCAGCGCTGGACGAAGGCACTGCCCTGCTCAGGGCAAACCTGGGGGGAGGATACCCCGAATTTTTGAGGGGAATACCCCAGATTTGGGAGGGATACCCCAGTTTTGGGGGGGGGGCAACCCCCGATTTGGGGGGGTTCTGTGCTTGCTGGCTCAGCTCACGCCCGGACAAGTCACTCCGGAGCTCCAGGGTGCTCAATGTGATGGATTTTTTTTTTTTGCCTCTTATTTTCTGTGGGAAGTGGGGAAGAGGACAGTTCCTAAAGATTTGGGCTATTTTCCATTGGTTTTGGTGCTGGGTTTTGGAGGAGGAAGAGGAGGAAAAGGAGGAGGAGAGTTTGGATCGAGCGGTTTGTCGGTGCAATTAATTTTTTTTTTAAACTCGATATTTTCATCATTTTGGGGGGTGGGAGGGTGGGGGGGAGGAGGGGAAATAATAAATAAACGGCACTTTACATTTCCAGGCGTTTTCTCTCCTTGGTTGTGCCCTAAGTGCCTGGAATTCCAGCTGGGAATGATGTCACTGACGGGGTTTGGGATGCAGCAGCAGCTCTTCCCACGCTGTCCATCGGCTGCCTCCAGCGGAAACAGGAGATACTGGAATTATCTTGGCACAGAGGCAGCCCTGGATGGGATGGATGTGGAATCCCAGGACCTAAATCCCGCCCCAAGGGAGCCGGGATGGGCTTGGGAATCCTTTGGGAGGGGGGAAACATTTGTGGGTCTTCAATATTTGGGGTGAGCAGGAGCGGGGAGAGGCCGAGCTGGGCTCTGCTGGGAGATCAGAATTAGCCCAAAAACTGGAAAATAAGTTGATTTTTGCGAAGCTTTTGTGCTGTGAGTGGTGCTGGAGCTCAGGGGGTGACACTGGGCACCTGCCACCGTGCCATCCCTGATGCCAGGCTCCTGTGGTGGCACTTTTTGGGGTCCTGTGGTGGCACTTTTGGGGTCCCTGTGATGTGGCACCCGATGCCAGGC